ATCATCAAAAATGACCTTCAACGGAATGGTTAAACAAAAGTGATGGTGGAACAGACTTTGGCTAGAAGACAGCAAGATCCTCACAAGAAAGAGAAGCCGCCACATCGACTGCCTCACAGTAGGCTCTCCAGGCTTCTCTTTGTTTTTGTCTGCAGACTTTTTTGAACTATCTGGGGTGGCTTGATATATACTCCAGATCTCTTCGAGTCTTGTACGTTTTGCTTTGTTAAAGGTGGTTCTCGATGTGTTCCTGAAGTATTTCAGTTCAGGGCACCACCATGTATTGGTTGTGCCATCTGTTTGAACGATCCTCATCGGTCAGGATTCCTTTCAGGCAATGTCTATTTTATTTTGGATAGATACCGTGTACCTTTCCAGTTCTTCATTATTGCCAGGAGTCAGGACCTCTGTTTCCCGCAGAGCTCCTTTTAAGAGTCGATTGTGTAGAGAGCTACATCCGTCCTCTTCGGGTCACGGGATTTTACATCTGTTTCCCGCAGAGCCCCTTTTAAGAGTCGATTGTAGAGAGCTACATCCGTCCTCTTCGAGTCACGGGATTTTACAGTGGTCCTAAGATTCAGGCTTACCGTAAAGGTCAACCAGCGGTGGTCTGACATAGAAATATGGTGCGAGTCTTGCCAGTCCTGGATTTTGTTTGATATTTTGGCTGTCGTTAGCGTGATATCTATTAATGTTTGGCTACGGGCGTTAATAAATGTCGGCCTAAGTGATGTGGGCTTACACTAACCTCCCTACTCTACAAATACAGATCTACCAAAGTTTCCAAACAGTGCATCACAAGTATACTATCGTTACCAAATGCCTGGATAGTTTTTCTGACTCTTTCGGCAGCGTTTCGGTTCAATTTGAATTTGTAGAGAAAAATTGGCTGGAAAGAAGCAAAAAATTAACAGCATCAATATGTAGAGTATAATATAATAAATACTTAATGAGATATGGAGCTACAAAACACATGACATTGAAACAAAACTTTTGAAAAAACCTTATAGTTTTTCTCTAGTTTCGTACCTTTGTTATTGATAAATGACTTCGAAATATGTTAAAACTGTTGTGTAATCAAACATTTCACTCATTTTCTTGAAGCAGATAGCATTACATTAAGTCATCTTACTTTTCCAGATAAAATTTTCCAGAATGGCATGCTAATTTAGAGAAAACCGTAATATCTTTGAATTATCTGCATTTGTCTATATAACTTTGAAACTTTGGTAGCCTAACTGGGTCCAAATTCATTAAAATTTCCAGAAGATAAATGAAGAAACCACTCATTAAAGAGAATAGGGCCCAAAATTGAACCCTGATGAATTCCTGACAAAATCTTTTGCTTTGGTAGGTTACATCCTCGATAGCAACATACTGGTGTTTTTTTAATGAAAAAACTACAAAGCCACTGATGTCACATATTGCATATCTCTTCAGCTTATCCATTTAAAAAACTTGATTAACGCAGTCGAATACCTTGATAAGATCTCAACAAGATATTCGCTTCCATCAATCAAATCATCATTTATCGCATATTTCTTGGTTAGGAATCCATGTTTCTTTTAAATGAAAATTCATTTTTTGCAAGATGATGATAATCGGCCCAGAAATTAAAATTCGAACATTTTTGAATAGCAGGAAGGTACAGTAACGGGTCTATAATTCTTCATGAATCGTGAAACAACGTTTTTATGAATGGCTACTATTTACTTGCTTTCAGGCATATCTGGAAATCGTCGTATTATTAAAGTTAAGTTAATTCAATGTGTGGTAGGTATATAAGAAATTCGATCAACCCCAAGAAGACTGAGATGGTATTTTTCACCAGGAAAAGAAGTTTATTGGGCTTGAACCCTCCCGAAATCTTTAAAATCAAACTAAACTTCTCTGAAGAGGTGAAATACCTTGGTAATACCCTCGATAGGAAGGTAACATGGAACTCTCACCTACAGTGTAGAGGAAAAAGAACAAGTGGCTTGTGAGCAATGTCGGAGGACAGTGGGACGCACATGAGGTCTTTCACCCCGTGTGGTCACCTAGATCTACACTGCAATAATAAGACCTATGTTAACGTACGGAGCCATTGCATGGGGACTGAAAGTTCTACAAGCAACGGCCATCCAAAAATTATATCAAATACAGCGATTGGCTTGTTTAAACAGCTCAGGAGCCACGAGAGCAACACCAACCGCAGCAATAGAATGAATTACTGGTCTGGTCCCTCTGGGCCTGCACGTTAAGTAGTTTGCGTTATTGGTCATATTACGATTGCGCACGGCTGGTGTAAACATCGAAGTAGGAATAGATCAATTGAGGCTGAGCCTATGACGAAAAGCACTTACTGCGCTTCTGCAGGCAGCCAGTAATGCAATTGAATCCAGGTAAAAGGTTATCGCATTGGCGACTCTTTAGCCAAGGAAGTGGCTGGACCCAGTGACACCTACGGCTTGATGACTTCGACAATTGTGGAACTAGCCAAACGTGACACCCATGCTCAATCCCTGAAGAGATGGGATGGAATCAAAGGATGAAGTCTTGCCAGGATCACTCTGGGCGACCTTGGGAAGCTGGCGCCGAAGAAATATCTGGCGATGACCAGGAAAAACCTACGCTTAACAGCAGGACTTATGACTGGCCACTGTCAAGTAAGGAAACACCTCCATATTATGGGGCTAGTGGACACACCTCTATGCAGGATGTGTGAACAGGAAGATGAATCTGTCAGGCATGTCTTATGCGAGTGTCCGGAGTTATCGTCAATAAGAGAGTGTGTAATCGGCGACTCTTGGTGTCTTACACCTGCCGATATAAAGGAGATGTCTCCTAGTGACCTGTTCAACTTCCTGGAAAGGACAGGATGGACGATGACCTATGAGGACAACTTCTTGGGAGGATGTACAATGGGTCATATGTGGCCTAAGTGCTGTGAGCATACACTCATCCTCCCTACTCTACAGATACAGAAGAAAGTCTAGCGATGTTCTCAGAAGAAACATAGCAACCTCGTCATGTCAGACGATAGTTGTGCAATGTATACATGTAGGTCCCCTCGTCAATTATTTATCATACGGAATATAGTAACAACTTCAATACTCAATACTTTCACATACGGAATTATTAAGAAAAGTTAATATCCCGAAGACATTCGATGGGCTTTATTTCAGAGAACGTAACGGATTCAGCTTATAGGGGCAACATTTTTTTCTATATAAAATATTCATATTCAAAAAGTGTTTTGGCTTTCTACTTCTCCATCATTGAAAAATGTGAAAAACGTCGATAGAAAGATAAACCAAAAAACTAAATTTCAATGCACCTAATTGAATAAATTTTATGTGATGTAATCTGCCGATACTTGATGAAAATCCTTTTAGTATATATTCAAGAAACATTTTATTGTGAGATTTTTACTAAACAGTTTTACAAAAATGCAACACTATTTTCGTTATACAATAACTTCTTTAGGCATTAGTATAGAAAATAATTATTACAACGTGAATAGTAGGTCTTGCTAAACCTTGTTTCATCTGTTTATGGTATATAATCTCATAGATTCCTTTAAATCATAATTGAAATTTTCTGATTGGAGATCAATTTCTCATGGATTGAACCATAAAATTACGAAGCACAAATCAGAAACGGGTTAAAAATAAACTAATCCAACAAGTGATAGTCATGAAGTTAGATATCGGGGCATTGATGGCGTTCAAACGTATTTGAAAGGGGTTTTCAGAGAATAGTTCGTATAATTTATTCATATTATTATTATTAGATCGAATTAAAGAAGAGTGAGTTAATTATTGGATAAAATTGATAGCAGTTCATACTATAATGAAGTATTTTTATTGTGCAGAAAACTTGATTGAACTATTGTCACTTTTTCAATGTTTCGAAATCCATTGTTTGTGATTTTTGTGTTCCAGAAATGATATTTTTGGGTTGAAAGAAAGGATTCACCATAACCATTAGAATAATCGATTTCCCGAAATCATAAAACATGGCCATATTTTTTTATATCTCTTCGTCATTGTTTTACGGTAAGAGCTTTATATTTTATTCAAATAACTGAAAGGCTCAAAATACTTCAAATTAAATTTTACCCAATTGTTATAAATTTCAAGTAACAACTGAGCAATAAATTTAATGAAATATAATACTGTCTGGTGTTTAAAAAATTATGTACCTATTTTATGAATTCCTAATGAAAACAATGTTGCAAATGTGTTTTTCACTGAAGAAGCATGTATGAATGTTCAAGTAACTGAAAACAAAAAGTTCTTTGTTTTTTTCTTTCCTAATTTTAAATACAAATAAAAGGAAAAAGTTAGGATAATGTTAAACTAAAACTAGAGTAAAATGAGGGGATTGCTAAAACAGTTCAATGTTTGTAATCATGAGACACCAACTCATATTAAGAAAAGTAGATCAAATAGGTATCAGAAGGTTTTTTTCAAGAAAATACTTTACCAGAATTTTCGAGTAATTTAATAAACAAAGAAACTTTTCAGATGCCATCTTTACTTAATGACAACATTTAATAGTTTTAACGTAATTGCATGCGCCACATTTACATACTAATAAGTTCTATCTATTCCAAGAGGGTTATCTACCTGAATATTATCTTTAAGTCCTCAGGTATGAATTATAATTTCAAAACTTTCTGCACTTTCGATTGTTTACAAGTATTTGCCCTCATTATTTCCTTTGGGAAAATACCTAACACTGTTCTTGCCCAGTTACCTCTGTTAAATAGGTCAAAAGGCTTCGAATCGACGACCTACTGCGACCCATTCAAAAATAATTCGTTTCTATCAATTGCGACCGCGTCTCTAGTATTGAAAGTATTCGCCGACGCACCTGACGTTACGACAAAACCAGAGAGCGTAAGCGATAGACAGAGAAAACGCGAAGATGGCCGTGACAGTGGAACAAACATCGAGCTGGCGGCCAGGTAAACCTATAGGAATGTACGGGGGGACAAGGTAACAACCTGTTGTGACGTCACTGCCCGTGCTGCCCCTCTCCACTCTGCCGAACACACCGACATTAGTGCTAGTGTTGTGGACGAAGAGTGAAGTCGAAGACCCAGTTTCGCACGTGGTTCACTTTTCGTTGCGTTCGTGACGTTATTCTTCTATCGATGTCCGCTACCCTCGTAGGGGGCGTCTAATCCTTTCTGACAGCAAACGCGGAGGATTCGTTGTGACGTTTAGTGTGCATCTTCAGTATCTGTGTCGGAGACTTCAACGCCCGTTCAGACGGGAAACCCCCTCATGTTGCCGGGTGTTTCGAACTAAAATGAAGCGTAGATGGAACGGCTTCAGGGATGCCGCGGAGGAGTCTAGCTCGGAAGTGACTTCTTCTTCGACTTTAGTGATGAGTCCTGCCAATTCTCTGGCTTCTGCGGATATCGGGGACGTCGATCTCGAGTTCTGGGACTTGGATTTGAACCACCAGCATCACGCGAGGAATCTGATCATTCAGAATGGTTACACTTTAACGGGAACTATTATTTCCAGTCATACATTGGCTAAAAGTGATACAAGTTCGATGTCAGGTACGTGAGTTCATGTTGTGAAATTGATCACCTACTTCATATTCGATTTAGTTGATGAATCATCTGAGAGCATTTTTTGGGAAACGCGGCAGTAGGTTGTCTTTCTAGGCTAAACAACATCGTTCTATTGGTTATCAAGTTCGAAATAGTATTAAGATAAAGTAAAATTGTGATGGTTTCTCAGAGACGAAACATCGGCTTGAAAATCTATGAAGGTGGTCTTCTACAGCTTGGAGAGTGGCAATGAGAGAGTGTTTTTGTTTTTTATCTCCTTAAAAAAGGTCGGATAGAAATGAAAACAGAATTTACGAATTTCGTTTTTATTTAATATTCTCATGAACCGACTTGTGACTTTGATGATATAAATATTCCCCATTGGACACCCTTGTCCAATTTACATCTTACTGGATTTATTTACATCTAACTTGGACAGTTGGATGTAAATAAATCCAGCATCCTTACAAAGCCAAAGTGCATGAAAGTGATCAGAATATATGTACAGAATTACATATGTTGTTTATAATTGAAAATTCACTCAATTAAATATGTGAATCAATTTTATAATAAGGATAAAGTAACATAATTAATTACAAAGTAAGTTGGGATGATTATAATTTGCTATTAGAATAAAAATATAATATAAATTTTTGTATTTTTTTTTACAAGTGACAGTATTGAATTTGGTTGTGTTTGTATTTACTTACTGACTTTTTGATATTTCGCTGCTGTTTGAACTTCTTCCAGCTCTTTGATTTATACAAAACTTTATACTGCGTCATCTGCAAAACTGATTTTCAAAAGTCTTGGCTAAATCTTGAGAAACATCAAGGAAGGACTTTGTTTTATATAATGACTCATGAATTAAGAAGGCTATTGCGTCTTCTGTGGATTTTTGTGATTGAAATACGAACTTGTTTGTAGACTTCATCCTTTAGTATCTTTCAGACATGATGCGATAAATTGTGTCACTTCTATTACAATAGTTGAACATCAGTTTCACCATGGTACAAGAAATACAATGCTATGCAATTCTAGTTTCATTATCTTTGAGTCTATTGATCATATTCTACGTTATATTCAAAATGTGAATTAAAACTGTTAGTTTTAAAAACAACGATTGGTGAAGAATTCACCCAGGTAGTTCAAAACCAGGTTCTTCATTTATTTGATGAAATATTTGGCTATACGTTAGCTGAATATTGCATTGCCTTCATTTTCAACTTTAGATTTTTTTTTTCGTTTATTATTTCTTTAATTGCTGTATATATCCTATAAGTACGCAAAGGTAAGTCGCTGACTGACATGACTTATTCTATTATGCATATTAGTCAGATCTTCATTCCCTTCACATCATATCTGCGGGACCCCCATGTTTGTTCACCCTCCATTTGTAGAACGCTTCAGTAATTTTGTTTTAAATTTGGTGGACTGTATGAATGCATTCGATGCTGAAACTACTCATAAAGTATTTTGGCTTGGTTAAATTTTTCAATTTATTTTTATACTCACGAATTTATATATTTATAAAGATACGGGTATTTGAATATAAGATATTCAAATAATTCAAATTTTCAAACAAGACTCAACCTCTAACGGAAGCAAGAAACTCGTTGGAAGGTTCGAAATAGATGAACATTTCAACCTAGCAGACCACTATTATCCTTCTTTTCTTTTTTTGTATCAAGATGGAGTAGTAGAAAGCCAAAAACTTTCTTTCCCACCATTATAATATTCATGCAGTCATTGTTCACTGTGGTTCTGGCGTTGAATTTGGTCATTATTACGACTTGGTCAAAGAAGAAACGGACTGGTTTAAGTTTGACGATAGTCGTGTCACGAAGTGTTCTGGCGATGCNTAGTATTCAACAACGTACCGCGCGCTTCGCCCATTTCACGGTCGCCATAATCGTCCTACCGGGAGGACCATTCGAGGACTATTTGAGTCCACTAGTTCAGTAAACGATCAATCAACATCCGTACGTCGACGAAACGAAAGATCTGCGAAAAACAACGCCACTGTCTGTGAGAGTGTGCAAGAGATTCCGTTGCTGTCGATTTCGCGTCGCTCACAAGAACTTGCATTTTCGCAGAGCACAACGTGGTGAAATGCTTGGGCCTGCACCCTTAAAAAAATTAACTGACCCGAAAAAGTCACTGTTTGGTGGGGATTTTGGGCTGGCGGCGTCATCGGTCCATATTTCTTTGAGAACAACATTGGCCAGGTCATCAAGGTCAAAGGCGAGCACTATAGGTTGATGATTACCAAGTTATTTTGGCCTGAATTGGATGAGCTGGACACCAGCGACATGTTGTTAAAACAGGATGACGCTACATGCCACATTGGATATTCTCTACGAGCGATTTGAGGGTATGGAGGTAATTTGAACTGGCCACCAAGAACGTGTGATTTGGCCCCGTTAGACTTTTTCCTGTAGGGTTTTCATGAGTCGCAAGTGTCCACAGCGGTATATCAAAGCCAACGTAAACCACGCCATCGGTCATAGGCCATAACCAGAGCATAATGCCATCAATAAGCATTTTAAACGAATACCAAATTTCGATATCTCGCCCAAACTTCCTACAGGAAACGCTTAATGAAAGACCTTATATAATATTCTAGTAGAATCCAAATAATCGCCTCCCTTTAGCCACGATTTCAATTATTTCCCATTCAATTATTCCCAACCCTCATACAAACGGCCCTATTGAATGAATAGTATGGGACAAGGGGAAATCTTTTAAAGGGTTTGACCAGTGCAATTGCTATGCACGGAGCATCACTGCATACCAAACATAGAACATTAATATGCAGATTTATTTTGCATTCTTTGCAGTGCAGATGTCCGCGTGTGTCGAGTTTGCGATCTATTAAAATGAAACTGAAAGTTGAATGGGTCATTTTAGGCAAACCGCCTCTTTCGATTTTTCTTTGGAGCTTCAGCTTTTTCAGAGGAATCGAATTTAACTGAGAATAAATGTGTGAAATTTCATATAGAATAACTCATAGTTGCTCACAGAGCAACTATGAGTTATTTTTAAAAATGCACTGAGAAACTTGATCCGGCCCGTAGGATCAATAAAATGATTTTACTTCAATACCTCGTTATTGTGAAATTTATTACTTTGGCGACCAATATATTGAATCTGAAAACTACTTCATGTCANGATTTCACCTTTCCCCTCTTCCCTCTCCCCTTTTCATCGGTTTTAGCGGGAGCTGACCGTTTGGCGGGAGTTGTCCGTTTTCCGCTGAATGATAGGTTTCCATATATTGCGTATCTTCATGGTAGCTTGGCTAAATGCGTTGTTGGACGACATACATACGGCTTCTTTGAATTTTCTCCTAAACCAGTATTTCTCCTTATGGATTATTTCAGCTTGAGACCACTTGATGTTATGTTGATGAGTCCAAACATGGTCTGCTATTTCTGATTTGCTGTGATGTTTCTGATATTCTCGGTAATGCAAACTTTCAATGGCCTCTTAGTTGATGTAGGATTCTCCGCACTCGCATAGTATCCGGGAAATGCAATTCTTAGAATCGCAGTCCGCACTTGGTGATCAAGTACAAGTACTGTTTGTGACGGCTTCCCTTCCTTGTGTAGCTCTTGCTGTCTTTTAGCCAAAGTATGTTCCATCATCACCAACATATATATGGAGTGGTTTGAAACTCTGGCCATTGAAGAAGCCTACAAGAAGCCCCGAGAGTCTGGTTGAGATACGTTGACGACACCTTCATAATATGGAACCATGAGAATACAGAACTAGGCACCTTCCTTAAGCACATCAACAACGTAAGACCTCTTCCATCACTTTCACAATGCAGAAGGAAGTTCACAACGATTAGATATTCTTAGATGTATTGGTGAAGCGGGCCGACACTGAATGGGAAACATCTCTATACCGAAAACCCTTTCACATGGGACGGTGTCGGAACCAGAAAGCCAACCACCATCAATCGACTAAGGGAGGAATCATCAAGGTCCCGAGAAGGAACTAGACATCATCAAAAATGACCTTCAACGGAATGGTTACACAAAAGTGATGGTGGAACAGACTTTGGCTAGAAGACAGCAAGAGCCTCACAAGGAAGAGAAGCCGCCACAACCAGTACTTGTACTTACATACATCAGAGGATTATCGGAAAGGATAAGAAGAATTGGGTCCAAGTATAACATCAGAACCTGCTTCAGATCTGGGAACACTATCCTTAGAGGCCTCACGGAAACCAGGCCACCAAACGCGGACTGCGATTTCAAGAATTGTATTTACCGGATACCCTGCGAATGTAGAGAATCCTACATCGGCATCGGTGAAACTAAAAGGCCATTGAAAGTTCGCATTGCAGAGCATAAGAAACACACAGCTAGGAGAAACCAGCGAATCAGAAATAGCAGAGCATGTTTGGAGTCATCAACATAACATCGAGTGGTCTCAAGCTGAAGTCATCCACATGGAGGAACACTGGTTTAGGAGAAAATTCAAAGGAGCCGTATATATGTTGTGCACCAACGTATTTAGCCAAGCTAGCGTTAAAATAAGCAACATATGGAAACCTATATAATCAAGCGGAAAACGGGCAACTCCCGCCAAACGGTCAGCTCCCCCTCAAACCGATGAATATTGTGCATGCTAACAATCGAAATGTCGCGAAGTAACTTGGTTTGAAATATATTGATTACAATTTTCATTTCTTGTCAAATGTTGCTTGTATTTTAATTTATTGTAATTTCAGTTTTTTTTGCTTCTTATAATTTTGATTTTCTAGCCAAGGCTTTTTGCTTTCATTAATTTTTTCAGGGATTTCAAATCATTTAATATCATATTAAACAATGGAAGTCCGAACTAACAAAATGTACCTTGAAACATTGTCAACCACCTTCAAATAAACAACAAATCTTTGTCGTGCAATGAATTCGTAAACGTTATATTGTGTCACCCATCCTTTCAGAAACACTTCCGGTTTCAAAGCGCGATGGAATAACTTCCAGAAGATTTAA